AGCACAACTGGTGGTCTGATAATCGTAAGTATCACATTTGAGGTAAGGTTGTGATCAAGCTCATCGTATCCAGTCCTCGACCCTTTGGTTCTTAGAATTCTTGTATGGATTATTATTTGACCACCAGTCACCAAAGTTTGAGGCTTGCGGTGTCGTTTGTCCCAATTGCCCATAAGAAGATTATCCAGAAGCATGAGAAGAAAATGACACCGGATTTTCTCTGAGTCCGATTGTTGTTTCCCTAAACAATTCATACAATAAACATTTTCTTACTCGATGAGCAGCCGTGAGTTAGGTCTTTCACTGACATCAATAACTTTAGAGGATCGTGGTTCTAGTATGAATCTGAGGTTTTAATCGATTCATAAGGTTTTAACAAGAGAATTCCTATCAATTCAAAATGGGAGTTGATACATAGATCATAATATGTGTGAAAGTGGTTGAGTAAGACACTTTCACGAAGTGACGATCTAACAAATATGCAACTAAAAATGTATCGGGAATGTAAAAATTTAACCATTTTATTAACATTATCTCTTACAAGTTCTTCGTGTATGTCAGGTTTAATAGTAAAAATATGTCGAAAACCTCACATCACGTTGACTTAGTACACGTAGGAAGTATGATAGTGAACACCAAAAAGTATGTTAGTAGCATTTTGAAGGTATTCCTAAAAATTGTATAAGGGTTTTACAATTTAGCCAATCATCACAAGTAATACAAGTCTAGCACCCCGACCGGCTGGAAATCGTCTCGAGCTCGCCTTCCTCACCGGTAGAACACTGAACCTTCACATAACTCTCACACCGGAGGGATTTTTCGGTGAAGAGCCTCCAACGCTCAAGTCAGTTTTTGAGAAGATAAGAATATATGTGGAAAAATGTATAAGTATGAGAGATTGTGTCTAAAACCCGAGATATCGCCCCTATTTATAGGGGCGAGTTACCTGTTCTCATGCGCAGCTTGGGCGCGTCGAGTTGATTATCGTCCATGCTCGTCCGTACAATCGTCTGCCT